ACCTAGTGATTCTGTGATTCTGTAATTATTACACAGCTGACTCTCTATGACTTTTTTTTAGAAAAATCTAGTTGGTGCAAAAGATCTGAAGTAGGAAACTGAAGTGTCTGTTGCAAAGAACCTTCTTCTGCACTGGGCATACACCATACTTGCTCTCTTCCTCATGAATGCAAGAAACTACTTATAAATTTTTTTTGCCTATTGCATTTTACTTGTGGGCCAGAGAAGCAGTCTTATGGTTACACGTGGGATCTGCTAGCATAAATCTGTGCTCTGAGACCAGTGCTCCAGGGGACTCTGTGCAGGCTCCCACCTTCGGCTGCAGGGCAGCGCGGTGGTGAGGGCTCACGGGCTGGCTGGAAGGCTGCGCTGCCGGGCCGGTAACTCGGGGTGCTCCTGCACGCAGCCAGCTCCCCCGGCTGCCTACGTTTGCTTGCTGCACGCTGCGCTGGGCTCCCTTCGGCATATTTGAAATTCCTCCAAAAAGTTCAGTCTTTCTTGAAGATTGATACATTCTAACCTTTTTTCAATAGTATTTCTACTGCTGTTAAAACTGTATGTACTTAAAAATATGAGTTAACAAGACTGAGTTCCCAGGGCACTTATTTCTGGACTTTAGGTGGCAGAAGCTACATTCCTATTGCTTTCAGTAAAAACAAGAAACCTTCTATTGCACCTTTAAAAACATGAACATAAAACAGTGTTTTAAATTCCACAAAGCTTTAGGAATTATGCCTTAGACCACTCTTTCTCTACCATCTCAGATAGACAGATGGCAATATTAAAGCCAGATCTGATCTGGAAGACGAACAGCGAAACTCAGACCAGTAGCTGTTTTAAGAGTAACTAGCAACATATTTTTATTGCACCAGTTATTCTACATCTGTACTCTTAAAAAATATTAAGGCTATTTCCTAATACTGAAATGCTTTAATTAGCTGAGGCTTAAAGTTTAAATATTCAGGAGAGACTCCCTCTGTCTATCATTGAAATATATAAGAATTCTTATAAACAGATTTGGAATTAATTTCTAATTTCAGGTCTTTTTTTTTTCCTTCCTAAAAGCAGAAAATTAAAAATTTTATATGATATAAAGATATGTTAAATCAACTAGATTTAGCATACAACATTTTCCTTCAGGTGAAGGGGTTGGGCAGAATGGAGGAGAAATATTGGTACAAATGCTGGTATGAAACAAGCTGCTTGAAGGTGATTTTTTAATCTTTTTTTTCTGCCTCTTTCCCCCTAGCAAAATCATGTCCCAGGACAAATAACTGCTGATCTAAAATGAAAATTGTAATTTCCAGTTTTTGTAGAGTCTTCACTATGAGACCCCATCTTGGGGGTAGAGGGGAAACAGCTAACTCCCCCCCAATAAATTCTACCTAGAACGAGAGGGAAATAGTGACTTGCAATGGTTACTTTACAGAAGTACCAAACACAGACTTTATTTTCAAATTGGTCTATGGATAATTGATTTACAGAACTACACAAGCTTTTTTTGTTCTCCTTTAACGCTTAAAAAAACTGAAAGAAGGATTTAAGGACTTTCTTAACCCCAAAGAACCAGCACATGGATTACTGGCAATCGGATCTAAATGCAGTTGTGAAAACCAGTTAGAGAAAAGGTTACTCTTAAGATAGGTCAGCAGAGCACGTGAATGTGGCAGTATTAATGATGAATGTTCATTATATTATTTTGTACTAAAGCAGTCAACAGGGACTGTTTTTCTGTGCCAGTCAGGTGCACAGCATTTCTGACAGTGCTGACACATGCCAGCAGGATTTAGCATGGATTCCAAGCACTAAAATGCCTACTAAAGAGTTAGATGGGTCCAGATGACTTACTGAGCCTGACCAGTTATATTGTCTCAGCACAGAACCACTGTAAACGAGACAAACAGTCGAGTGTGCCACCGAGAGAAACTTTGAAAGGTGCCAAGCCCAATGAGAAAGTTTAAACAGACTTTTTTTTCATTGTTGCTACCTCCTTTGTTAGCAATGCAGGCTGTGAGAAGGCATGAGTTTGAACTCATGTCCTGTACCTACTGAACGTACAACAAGCTGAAAGGCCATTACAGTCCTGGGTAATAAAAATCATAAGGAATTTATGTTCCCGGTTTAAAGTGGGAAACTGTCCTTTGCTCATCAACTAGCTGGTGCTGCTCAGTACACAATTTATATAGCCCAAGCGTAACTTGACCTGGGAAATATGACTGTGCAAGGTTCTCATCATCTGAGTGTTACCAGAGAGCTTTCCCTTCAGGTAAGTATGTAAAGAAAATACATAGACACACCTATGACCAAGCCATGGTTACGGGCAAAAGTGCTAATGTCAGAAATGGCTACATGACTCGTAAACGCTTGCAAATGGTATAGGCTGAATTTTACCTACACCGAAGAAGAAAAATATTCCAAAGTCAGTGCCAGGATGAGGGACTTAGTTTACTTAGCCTCATTTTTCTCTTACTAGAGTCTAAACACACTGGCTGTTTTGAAAGCTTGAGGTTTTGTTTTCCTGTTCTCTTAAAGAGTCAGTTTTCCAAATGTCTTCAGTGTTTAACCACAAACACGGTGGCCTGTGACCATTAATACCTAAGATCAACAGTGCTTTGTGCAGGTCTTTTCTGGAGGAAGAAAAAAACCACCACCAAAACACACACAACCGCTCACAAATGGCATTTTTATAATTTACTTTAACATCTATTTACTTCCTGCATGGCACATAGTACTGTTTGTTTCTTCAACAAAATAAAACCACTTTCAAATGACACATCGTATATCAGATGACATGATCTGTTCCTGGACAGAACATCAGGTTTTCAAGTGAAAATTCAGTCTATGATTTACCAATAAGAATTAGCAGAAGCTACATATAGGCAAATCTAGAGGTAAAGCGTAACAGTATTTTAACGAAACATTTTGATTATCCTATAAAAATAAGGACTGATAATCCCATCAGTGGCTAAAGAAAATGACAGTTTCACACCTTTTGCAGTAAACTGTGAACAATTTATACAATTTTTCCTATATTATGTTGCTAAGAAGAAAGCCACAATCATTTTCAGTAAAGAAATTACCAAGATTGATAAAGCTTACCTCTCGGAGTGTAGGTTTGCCTTTGAAAAATTCTGTGTTTTTGCTACTTTTTGGTGGGTTAAATCTTAAATTTAGAAAAGCACATCCGTTAGCAATAGCCTCTAAAGGAGCTGGCCCTTCATATGGAAATCCGAGGCCAACGAACAGCTGAAAAATAGAAAACAAGGACTACCTTCATTCTTGTTCTTTACAGAAACCGAAAGCTAAGAGCTAACTTAAAATAAACAATAATGCATTCTAAATGTACCAGTCTAAAAAAAATGTAATGTTAAGAAGAAAATGGGATAAATTCAGCAGCTCACCCGCTCCTACCCAAGCAGTAACAGAATGTCCTGTAAAACACATTTGACAATAATCTTCTGTAATGAGCTGAGGTGTTTTTTCACAGAGCTGAGGCAACAACAGACCCTTTCAGTTATTGGGGGGGGAGTGGGGGGGAAGTTATTTGGTGGTTTGATTGGTGTTGAAATGAAACTGCTGGGGCTCTCTTGTAGGTAGAGGTTTTACTGCAGCAACCTCAGAGAACAGCTACACTACTGTTTTCCCCCTCTCTCCCACATCAACTGACCTGCCCGTTTTCCCAATATGAACATGCTCCTGGCAACGTGATTAATTCCTCTAATTAAAACAGTAGATGGCAGCAAACATCAGCTGAAGACGCTGTACCTAGGCAGCAAGAGCTTGCATAGGATTAAGAGGGTTTAATGCCTCCAAGGTAAATTGAAGGAGGAAAAATGCATCACAAAGCTATTCTTACATCAGCTGAGATTACAGGTGCTCTAGAAAAGGCAATGCTTTTCTCCAACGTAAAGAAACTTAGTATTTTTTCAGAGTTGTCTGGCTTTTATTTGGATCTTGACCCCTTTCCTGGTCCAACATAATTAAAAGCCCTGAATTAAATATAGGATTCTCCATCTTTATTTGAAAGTCTGTGTATAATGGGAGAATTACAAGCCCTGATTCGTAACAGCAATTGCTCAGCACTGCGGAATGACTTAACATGTGTATATATAGAATCATAGAACCTTTGGGTTGGAAGGGACCTTTAAAGGCCACCTAGTCCAACCCCCTGCAGTGAGCAGGGACATCTTCAACTAGAGCAGGTTGCTCAGAGCCTCGTCCAACCTGACCTGGGATGTTTCCAGGGCATTTCCCACCTCTCTGGGCAACCTGTGCCAGTGTTGCACCTCCCTCATTGTGAAAAATTGCTTCCTTCTATATAGTCTAAATCTGCCCTCTCTTAGTTTAAAACCATTACCCCTTGTGCTATCGCTACAGGCCCTGCTAAAAAGTCTGTCCCCATCTTTCCTATAGGCCCCCTTTAAGCCCTGGAAGGCTGCAGTAAGGTCTCCCTGGGGCTTCTCCAGGCTGAACAACCCCAACTCTCTCAGCCTGTCCTCACAGCAGAGCTGTTCCAGCCCTCTGATCATTTTGGTGGCCTCCTCTGGACCCGCTCCAACAGGTCCATGTCTCTCCTGTGCTGAGGGCTCCAGAGCTGGATGCAGTGTGTTGACAGCAGCTACTGCTGTTTTCAAGAAAATAAAGAGCAGTCTTCGTAACTATTAGGATCATGTATTCAGGATGCACGTATTCAAAGAGGTCAAATTACACTATTCTGCATTAAATTTTCTGCAACATGGAAGTGAATCCTAGTAACAGAAGATTCAAAACTGAAGGCCCTTTCTAGGAGCTGATCTTAACATTGATGCATAAACCTGCAGTCAGTACTGTCACGCGCAGGCGTTGCAAGCATCAATCCTCTCCGACCCATGGCAACAACAGCACAAATTCTGAGTTGGCTCATTTTAAAAAGAAAGTTAACGCTTCTCAGCATAGGTGAGGACATACAATTTTCACTGCATGGAGCTGAATATTGTTATTTCAGTTTTCAATTTTCTGGTTAAAAAAGTCGCCTACTTGCAAAAAGTTTCTCAGCTATCTCGCAGATTTAAATCTTACAGGAAACTCTCCAGTGGCTGATAAAAAAGATATCTGGAAGACTATCTCCACTAAAGCTAGATAATCTAAATTTTTTTATACACAGTGTAAGATACATTATCTTTTAGTCAGAAAAAATACATACTAAATTTCATCTCAAGAGAGGCTTACTTTAAAGAAAGGTAATCTCTTGAAAATAATGAATTACAGCCATGAAACCATTTCATGCAACCTGCACAAATAATGTTATTTATTTAAACTACTCCTTAGTTCAGGCAGAAAACCAGCTGAGAACCTGCAATTAAAACCATCTGAGGTATCAATTCTCTCATGATCCTGTGTTTGTTTGTTATGTAGAGAATGCTGGTTTGTTTGCTTCGTTTTTCTCTTTTTTAATAAACTGCTGCTGTGCACTGCTGAACAGTTCTGCGTCTGACTGGTCCATTTATTTAGGAGGAAGCTCCATGGGGAAAGAAACATGTTTTTTATGTTTTGACAGCACAGAGCACACTGTCAACACTTAATCTATAATAAATAGCTTACCACCTGTTTCACATCCATTTTCCAACCTTACCTCTAAGCAGCACCATGCCTTTGAATAAAGAGGGAAGGATGTGTCTGATTGCTAGAGCGGTGCGTGTGTGTGTGCTGCCCGCTGGCCTGAGCTTGCAGCCTGCCTCACAGCTGCCCGCAGCCCCCCCAGCTCCTTCTTTCAACCCTCTAAAACCTTCTACCACTCTCGATCACATCACCTTCATCAGATCAGCTGAAATGCTCAAACTGAATCTAGACCCTGCTTGTGAAAATTGCCCTTTACTAACATTCCTGGGCTAGGGAGCTTATATTTTAGTACGGGATAAAGAGCAAAACTGAGGAATATCTTAATTGCCTCGAGAAAGTCACATTCATTATGATTCAAAAAGCAAGCATTAGAGGACACAGGTCATTTCTGTAACTCATTCTTATGGTGCTCTAATTTGCTAATCCTTTGAATTACATGCAGCTTGTTATTTCCAAAAAGGCTAAAACAATCTGTCAAGGTACCTCCTAAAAGTATGTAATAAATGCTGGAAGTCACTAATTGAAAAAGAAGGAGGGGGGGGGGGAAGTAGAAATAACAGACAACAATTTTCAGGTACCGGTGAAGCAAGTGTCCATCCTGAGTCCAGCTGAGGTAAATATTTAGAACACTACTTTGTGATATAAATGTACACTGTTGCCTCCACCACATAAGGTGCTGATTCCGACTTTTAGGGTACTCTCTTACCGGATGCTACGTCTGGTAACACAATCCACCATGGAGAGGCACCTTCACCCTATGGCTGAAGATCTATAATGCAAAACTCCAAATTTGACAATGTTGGTAACGTGACTGTGGGTGCACACGGTTCAAAAACGTTAGCTCTGATCTTGCTTTGTTAGCTGCAGCAGAATTGCTATGCAGAGTAGAATTCCTTTATGCTTTACTGGCTGATTAGTGCTTGAAAACGTTTCATCGTCTGTATTTGCGCATTTTTGTCACCTTTCAAATGTTTTTGAAAGCCAGAACCATTATTTTTCTTGCAGTGCTTTAAGTGGGGACACGCCACAGTAGGCTCTGAATGCTAACGCCCCATAAAATGAGGTGATGGCCAGGAGGAGTTACTGTATGAAAGTATATCTAAGGGAGATAATGGCAAATAAATACAAATGTAAAATGATCACGGTAACAGCGGTGTTGGGGTTTTTTTTTAAACCATTTCCATGTTTGCAAGTTCTGCTACCCAGGTGTGCCTCTGCCTATAGGTCTGCATGAATCGAAAAAGGGGATTTGTATCTGCATTCTCACTTGCCCAACTTGAGTCAAGCAGGTGTTGAAACCCTTAAGCAGGAATACTTTGGTTTCTGTAAGAATCATAGAATCATTAAGATTAGAAAAGACCTTTAAGTCAAGGAACCATCAAGTCCAACCGTCAACCCAACACCACCAAGCCCACTAAACCATGTCCCAAATTGCCACGTCTACACATTTTTTGAACACTTCCAGTGATGGCGACTCCACCACCTTCCTGGGCAGCCGGTTCCAATGTTTTACCACTCCTTCAGTAAAGAAATTTTTCCTAATACCCAGTCTAAACCTCTCCTGGTGCAACTCTTGTTGCGAGGCCATTTTCTCTTGTCTTAAGGCTCCTCAGGAACCTTCTTGCCTTTGCAGTGAACTGAACCCCCGGTTTGGAGTTTCAGGCTTTTGAGTTGGCCACCCAGCATCAGATCAGCCAAGACACATTTCTTTTCTGATTGTAATGTAGGCAGTCCTTCCGTGGTGTAGTAGCTAAGTGGAAACTTCTCTGACGTGAAAAGTGCTTCACAACCAGCCTCATGAAAAAACAGTGGGGTTTGGGGTTTTTTTTGGAAACCACTGACTTTTAGCTGACACTAAGCAATTTATTTGTGGAGTTTACAGCACCACATCGGACTATTATTGAGTACTTGAACAAACAGACTTTCTACATTATAGCCAAAAGTATAAAATAAGGAGTGAATATTTTACTTCACTGACTGTAATTCTCACTAGCTGAATATTTAAGAGAAAAATTTCATATTCCAGAGACTAAGTGCCATAGTTCCATACACAAGAGTGTTTCTCTTCTCCTCTCCCCTTTCTAACATTACTGCACTTTTTCTAATTTATTCTGTTGGGTTGGTAGGTTTATCACCACTTTTGTATGCCTCCTTACTGAACTTATATATTTTCTTCTGAACTACAGAAAGAGAAGTGTAGCAAAGGCTGTTGTTAACTATCGATACATTTTTCTCATTAAAATAAAATATTTTCTAGAAAAGTCAATCCTTTCGTAAATGAAACAACTTTAGAATAGAATCACTAGTAAAATGTCTTTTCAGCTGATTTTGTGAAGCATGCAGGAGTAAAAAAATATATTACTTCAAAAAAGGCAATATGAAAAAAAAAGTTTGTTTTCCTATTTCTGCTTATCCAACACTGCAATGGGATTTTTGTCAAACTGCCTAAACAGGTTGTTGCTCCTACTTTTATTAATCACCATTCAGAAACTGTAAATTCCACTTCGTGAAAGAATTTGGGTTCCCTCAAAAATTCACAATGGCTCAAAGTAAAAAGTTGCTTCTGAAACTTTCTTGAAAGGAGGAATATTTCTCAAGAATTCAGTACTGGTTCTTTCAAGAGAGTCTGGTCCAACTCCTCCAGCTGCCCACTTGGCAAGAAGCCACGCAAGTTGGCAGGAAGGCTGCCAGCTCGCCTACCCTATTTTCCTCTGACGTGATGAATGGCTTTACATCTTCTCATTAGGAACTGTTGACATGTCTCGTTTTTGTCATGCACTACACAGCTGAACTAGCCATGATGAATCTCAAACAGCCCTCTCCTGCTTGGAAAACACACTTGTTCTGAAATGCGTTGCTTTATCATACACACTAGAATGAAATGGCAGCTGCGTGCTTTTGAGAATAACTGTGTCCTATACTAGCTACAGCAGAGAGACCAAACACATTTTGGGAACGCAAAGCTCTCATCAAGAATCGTGACTGAGCCATCACCTATTGGTATTTTGCTGTCGAAGGGCAACATAAACTGATGCTTCTGAGTACACTGAACTGTGTGGTATGTTAAATTATTATTTAGCTCTGACTTTCTGAAAACTAGATCATTTGTCATCTGACCTAACAAGAACTTGCTAACACAATGTTGAAATCACAAGCACTGAAAGACAATCCTTCCCCTTGGGTCTGAAAACGTATGTTTAGAAAAAGAAAAATCTGAAAGTTTCTGGAAGCTTAGAGACGAAGTTTGTTGCTTGGAGACAGCAGAGAGCAGGCCTTGGTGGTTGCAGTCAGCATTGTACCTACAGATGTTACCATGCCCGAGTTGTGGCTGTGATTATACTCTCAGCACACTGACTGTCTAGGGACAAAACCCATAACTAAATTCATTATGGGGCTCTGGTCACGTTGCCTAGCAATTGAAGTGATTATGATTAAAAAGTGTCCTTGAACATCACCGGATGCATGTGCACACATACACTAGGCTCCTCAGGGCACAAAGCTCCCATTCAAGTCAGCTTGATTTTTGTGGAAAACCTGCACTTACTTAAGCAATTCAATCCATGATCCATTTGATATAAGCACAATTGACCCACACACGCAGCAGATGGCCAGCAGAGACAGGTGAGTGGTGTTTTATGCTAAGCTACGTTAAAGTACTGTCTCTTAAAAGATATCAAAATCTGAAACTGCGAACATACAAGAAGACTCAGAGCCAGTATGCCCGTTGATCAACGCTGAGAGGCAACCATATGCTAAGGCAGAACAGCCAGTGTACCTACGAGATACAAAACATCATCTAGCAAAAAACAAGGCAACCCAAAAAACAACCCAAAAATCCACCTCCAACTGAAAAAGTCCAAACAAATTAGATGGTAAATCTCAGTTCCCACTTTCAATCTCACAATGCTGCTGTGTTACTTTTTCTGTTAAACTAGATATATTGGAGCAAGTAAGTATTAGACAGGAATAATAACTGAAATTCATGATGCAGTAAGCCATATTTCATTTCATTTTGTTGCAACATTAGAAATACATTGCACTTCCATTTGCTGACAATAATAAGTATAAGGAGAAGCAGATGGACTCTTAACTGTTCATCATCAGGTCAAAGTTTTGCTAGCCTGGCTGCATCATAAATAAATAATTTCCTTAAAACAGCTTTTGTCATTTGCACATCGGCTAACAAAAGTTCAGAAAAGCCATATGAAAATACTGTTTGCAGAATTTAAAAAAAAAAAAGTTTGTTAAGAAAGATTGTATCAAAAAGATAATGTGATAAAAACACTGGATTCCTGATACAGGTTCTGAAACACACTGATGTGTTTCTCAGTGCCATCTACTAAGAAATGCAGCAAATTCTGAAAGGATTTCCCCCGATGTTAGGAATTAAAAAAACCCCAGAACACAAAACAACAATGCATAACAATAGTATAGAAAAATCGTTAAAATGTAGAATGCTTGTAGGACTCTGAAAACAGTACTGCGTAGACCAATGCTTTTCACAAAAATACAATTTGTGAAAAATAAGCAACTTATTGATCTCAGCAGTACTTCACAATGACAAGATAGTATCTTCCATCTGATACTGCAATTACTAGTCAAAAACTGAGTGAAACTAGTCTGGCTACTTCCTGTGTCACAAAGCCCATGTAACTGCACTGTGCTGAGCTGCAGAATAAGTATGTATGTATCAATTTGAATTTGTCCTAAATTGAATGTGTCCTTACATTGCATCCTAGAGCACAGCAACTATAACCAATATCTAGATGATCTATCTACTTAATATTGAAAATAAAGCCTTTTAGTTTAATACCTGTAGGATGGCTGATAAAGAATTAGAGGAAGACTTATTCAAATTAGAGTTCGCAAAATAGAAGGACTTCATTAATTCTATAGGAAATCCATTAGCTTATTTTACTATTCCACTGAATAGAACACTTTTTTTTCCAGAAAAAAAGTCACTGTTTGTGCTTGGGGTTATTACAATGTCAATATTCTTCCCACGTTAGCACTATGATTAACATAGTGATTTCATACTCCACACAGGCAAAAGCTGTGTAATCTCAGTATTATCTATGACGAAAGTAAATGTTGACTTTTTAATCTGCAACATTATGTGTATCTGTATGCATCAAGTACATACACACAGTGGTTGCCTTTAAAAAGCCGTAATTTGCCAACAGCTGTCACACAGAGATGTCAAATTACCATCATGTTCCCAAATATTTCAAAAAGGAGATCTCTGCAGTTGTGTGGGAAGACTGGGAGGTGCTTGCTCTTTTTTTTTTTTTTTTTAACAGATTCTTCTGTAGAAGTGCACAGCAAGAAACTATCAACAATGGGGAGTAAGTGGTGCAGTTCCACACATTTTGCTAATTTTAAACACACAAGCCACTTCTTTCACCAACTGAACGTTAAACGTCCTATTAAATGTAATCTGCTAAAGTGTTTTAATGTTGTGAAGTGCCACAAAGATTATGGGAATGGCACAGAAAACTCCACAAAGCATGGGGACAAAAGTTTATTTATTTCAACGTACATAGTCACCCTTATCTTGAGTTTGCTTGACTATGGGGTCACAGGCAAAGCGCACCACAAAAAGCACACTCCTTAGCTCTCTCCGCACAACTGAAGCAGAGGAAGGAACTGAATGGCGAATGAATTGCTTCCCTTTCTTCTTTTCTCCCCCAGAGAGTGGGGTCATTCTAGATTAAAGTCATAGGTAGGGCAGAGCAAGCATGCCTATTCTACAGCTTTCAGCTATTACCTAACTTTCACATCAGGGATGTAAACCAAAGCACATTCTCAGGCGATAATCTCCTTGAGCTGAATATCACATTTAAGAAAATGAAAAATGCGTTTAGTCATGTTTCTCAAGCTGGTTGTTAAATATGTTTGTGACTGTAGGTTGTCATCCCAATTTTCTAATATTAGCTTGTCAATCCACAAAACATGGACATGCTGAAAAAGGTATTCTTAGCACACAGAAGACAACTTAAACTCCTTTACATTTGGTCATTAATTTTTCCAATGCTTTTAACTTAGGAGCTCATTCGTAGGAGGTGAAATGCATGCACTTCAGATACTGTCTGTCTGTAGCTATTTTTGCCACTACTCCCTCTTGACCAACTTACTTTGGTTTCTCTCAGTAGAAACTGCAAATCCCGCCCACTGAGTATACCATGGTTTTTTACATAGCCAGGAATATAAATAGTGCTTGTCCCATGAACAGTTCCATGGACTTCCATATAGGTGTGGATGATGTCCAGATAAGCCTTCTTATCCTGTAATAGCAACAATAAAACATTTTCAGTCTTTACACATTTCAAGCAGTAGTGTTAAATCAGAGCTGTTTTTTATCTCCCATACCATATAAGCCAGAAAGTTCACTCATTCTTATGTGATTTCCATAATATTTGATCTTTCATTACATTATTAGTTTTGCTTTTTACTAGGTTGGAAGAAAACGGCAGCTTTTAAAATTCATAATATAGGTATAAATAAATCAATACCAAGGTCCTGTTAGTTTCTAATTGGACAAAAAACAGGTCGCCAACAGATAGCTGTAATCTCAGCATGCCTAAACAAGACTTGGCCTAAAAATACTAAAAAACTCATTTTGAAATACCAAATTTTTGGTCTGTTTTTGTCAGAGATGCAAAATAATTAGTTACTGTTTATCTTCTTCGTGAAGAAAAGGGTGAATCTCACCTTAGCAAGAATCACTCTTGCCAACTGAATAATTGAATACACATCTTTATCTAAATACCTAATACCTGAGTTCCATGAGATACCTACAAATATTCCACTTACCTAAAGTTTTAAAGGCCTTTTGGAAAAGACCCAGAGGAGAGAAGAGTAATGGCTTTAGTGTTACATTAAACAACAACAAAAAAAGTATACCATTGTAGTTTGCAAACAAGAATTACTTTAATTTTCAGTGCCATATGTTTTTTTGAGTTTTGAAGACTGCTAGCATTCCAAAAGCAATTAGCTGTAGACTGTATTTACAGCCAGTATGCAGCACAGATCAGAGAGACTTTCCCTCAATATTTGCACATTGTCTTAGTAATAGCTCTAAAATCAGGCAACAAGTTTCTGTACTTCTTGGCAGCAAGAAAGCTTTTAAGAATTCTACTTTCACTCACTATTTTTGTCATGTAAATTCTGTACACTGTTCATCCACAGCCCTGTGTGAAAGCTGGCCAGCAATTTTACTGAGGTTCATTCAAAGGGCAAGTAGACTGGTAAAAATCCTGTCCTTTCAAGTCTTGGAGGAGCAATGAGGTATCAGGCCTAGGTAAATGAACACTATCACTTCCTAAAAAACTTCCTTGCTAAATTAATCGTTGGTATACATTCGAATACATAGGGTATTTAATGTCACATAACAACTGGCTTCTAGCTTCAGCTTGCTCTACTGGTGATACTGTTTGTGAAGAAGTAGATTGTCTGCCGCATTATTAAATCGCCCTGTTCTGGTAGCTATTCCAAGGTTGCACCAGTCAGACAATGTCCTGGGCTAAGTATTATATAAAACAGCCAACAAATGGAGACAAATGTGCTTTCTTGTTTGATGTGGTTGCTGTTATTGTTAACTGAACACAAATTATTTAAAAAACTAAAGGCTTGCTCAATTTTTTTTTCCTTTTACTTCACATTTGAATTACTCAGAAGGACATGTTCCTCCCGTTATTTGTGAAGTAAAGCAGCATAACTAAGAAACTGTTGAGAAGCTCATCTACTTTGTTAAGAGCAAGTCCATTGTAAAACTTTTCCTTTCCAAATGTACAGGAGAAATACAAATGGAGTAGCCTGGTCTTGTTTCCAGAATGCAGTAGTGGTCTGTTGGTAGAGGCACAGCTTAATCCTGCCTGCCTGGATTTTAGTACAGAGCCTATGAGTTGGGCTTTAGCATTCTGAATGGGAAGAGACGGCAATGAAGCACAGGTATGATTGACATGATCTGCTACAATAAGAACACTAAGGCACATGCCTCAGTTTTCATTGGCTCATAGCACACAAACTGACGACATGGATGCACTCTAACTCAAGAAATATATAAGAAGCAAGCAGCTAGAATGAACAAAACCAGGATTATCTAATATTGCACTTATTTTAACAATTTCAAGTACAATTTTACAAACCTGTTACAGAATATTTAGCTCCTCTAAAATAAAATATTTGACATTAAAGTTATGTAGTCTTCACAATCTTTCTAATGGTTCCTGAGGAACTGCATTATTGGCTGTAGGACTGTTGAAGATTTTATGCAGGTTCAAAAAGACATCAAGGAAGAAGAACCCATGAATCATTATTGAACAGAGACAGACAACTTGTGGCCCAAGAAGTCCATGAACCACTTGTCACTGGTGGCTGATTTCACATTCTTCCTTACACACCAAGTTTTGGCTATTTTTGGAGTCAGAATACTGGACTAGATAAATCTTTGATCTGAACTGGCCTTGCTGCCATCTTATTATCTTTATTAGCTCATTTTCAAACATGAATGTAAAATGGACCGAAAGAAATGGAACATTTTCACATGTCTCCTGCTTATATGTGATGCCAATAAAAACCTACCGGGACTCTGTGAACTTCGTTGCTTAAATTCTGCTTGAAATACTCTGATACATATGATGGACCTTGAATTTAGCCCAAAGTATTCCCCAAATCATCTCGTTAATAAGAAAGTGAATTTTCCTACTATATCCACGTGTTGTTCTCTATATAAATACCAGCACTTGATGACTACAAAACAGCGAATACAGGATTAAAAAAAAAAAAACAAAAACAAACTAATGTACTAAGATAGGATGAAAAGAACAGGCTTCCATGCTATATTTGCAGTAATATTTTGGGGGGGGCAGAGGGAGGGTTCTTACTTAAAACCCTTAAAGTTACAAAAACATGTAATAAATATTACTAATAAATTCAAATTAACTAAGCAGACATAAAAATTATATTTAAAATTAATATATAACCAATCAATACAATTTATGAAGACAAAGCAAAAGCAGTGATAAAATCAGCATGTTTTAAGCATCTGTTGCAAGTGCAAACAAAACATTAAATTAACTACCCATAAACTTAACTGGGAACATTACTTAACCATATGAGTGACTTCTTTCCTGATTCAGAGTCTAAAACCACAGATAAAACATTCAGTATCCCAAACAGCATCAATTCTTCTATACATAATATTTAGAAAAATAAGGGACTTTCAAATGGTTTCCTCCTCCACAAGATAGGGTAACTACTGTAGACCACGCTATAGAGCCTACAGAAATTATTTTTCCTCACAAAGGAAACCTTATAGACAGGTAGGCATAAGTAAAGGGATCAATAGGTAAGAATTTTATGAATTAGTTTTCAAATCACAACAGTAAAAACATGAAAAAACAACACACACAAGCTGGGAAAAATCTTTCATCCCCCAAAATGCAACACACTTTCTTTTAATCAAATGAAATTTTTAAAGAACAACTGGAACAGAGAGCAGCATCTTCCCTTTGTTCCCTGTACATTAAACTATTGTTCTTAATTTTACCAAAAGTCTGTCTTTCTGAAGGGAACAAACCAAAAAAAGCCCAACCAAAACCTCAGAAAGCACAATCTACAAAACAATCACTCCTTTATTCCCTTATTCACTTTGAGTCAAAAGCTACTGCTTTCATAATCTTCTACAAAGTACCATAAAAATATTATTAGCACCTTATACCTTACACAAATCTCACTAACATTTGTCTCCTTTTACATTTATGTAGTTCTGAATTTCCACATTCCTTGTAGAAAAGTGTTATTTTGGATCATAAAAGTATATATTGTAATAAGCCACTTCACAAAAAACAATCAGAGCATGTAATTCAATCCTAAACACTAAAAATTTGAATTAGAAAATGCGAGAGCGTAATATGGCATTTATAAATGACTACAAGTAAATAAATCAAGAAATGTGATTTGCAAACAAAATATCAACATTCCTTCAACTGTTAATCCACTTCCTGAGTTTGCTTGCTCGGGTGCAGATATAAATAATCCGGTTAGCTTAAAACATTTGACAGTAATCTCCAGCTTTTTGCTTTCTCCGAAATTTTTTACAAGGGCATGTAGTAGTAGGACAAGAGGTAACGGCTTTAAACTGAAAGAGGGTAAATTTAGATTAGATGTAAGGAAGAAATTCTTCACTACGAAGGTGGTGAGGCACTGGAACAGATTGCCCAGAGAAGTTGTGGATGCCCTGTCCCTGGAAGTGTTCAAGGCCAGGTTGGATGGGGCTCTGAGCAACCTGGTCTAGCAGAACGTGTCCCTGCCCATGGCAGGGGGGTTGGAACCAGATGACCTTTAAGGTCCTTTCCAACCCAAATCATTCTATGATTCTATGAAAATTAATTCAAAGACAAAAGATGGGCTGCTGGCTAATGCAAACCCAACATTCTCTGCTGAGTTTGTATCATATTGCGCTATTCACCCATGTCTGTGGTCCATACCGTAAATCTAGACTTTGAGCATAAAGATAACCACATGAAAAAAAAGCAAATTATTTCTCCTCAGAATCAAAATGGAAGAGTAATGGTGAGTAATAGTCATAGAAACCTTTTCAGAAACAATTTTTCAGCAGCTAAAATAAACATGCCATTCAGGGAAGTACTTTTTGTTGATCACTGACTGCAGAACTGTTATTACTGTTCATCAATTATTTCCATCTGCTTTTAAAAGCATCATGATAAGCCCTTTCTCATCAAAGAAATCAAATGACAACTGTCTGATAAAGTCTTTCC